TTATTGACTCTTTAAAATAATTAAAGATAAGGATTCAACAACTAACTACGGTACTATTTCAGGGCAAGGCACCCAAACATGTCAAGAGTTGAATTCTGTGATATATACATTTTCTTTACAAATATAAATAAATAAATAAATAAAACTTTATTGAAATATAAAAATAATAAAATTATGATAAATTTTGAAAGATTTATCAGAAATGGGATTAGGTATGAAGAGGGGGGATTTGAGATATTTTTCTTATCTTGAACGAAATTTGTTGTTTTAGTTGGCAATCCTCAGTAAAATAAATTTACAACTATTTAAATGTTAATTAGTTAAAAATGATTTTAAAAAGTATTTGATATTATAATGCTCAAAAGTTGGGAAGCATGTTACCGGAATGACTTCAATCATTTCAGATTAATATGCGCCGACATTTTATAAGCATCTCATAATAACACACGATCACATCCATTTCTTTTCAGAACTGTTCCAAACTTCATAATAATTTTTTATTTATTATCATTTTTCAATCAACATGACACAACTACAATTTTCTTTATTCATTAACATTTTTTATTCAATTTCTTTAAAGCATTTGGTAGAGAGAGTTTTGCTTTAAAAATAAGATAAAATAGTGTAATAAGTACGGTGCAATGAGTTCGATTCTTGAGATTATTATAATAGAAGGTAAAGACAAACTAAGACATCAAAGAAAACATATAGGTTCAAATTATAAGTAAAACACACTCATTTTACCTATAATTTTTACAAGCCTTTCATATTATCAGCATAATTTTCGTAATCTTTACAAGTTTGTATATATTAATTATGTCAACCTATGTTTGGATACCTTTTTATAAGGTAGTTCCACTATTATGCAATTTTAACTATAACACAATTGATATCATTAACTATTTTTCATTAAGCAAGAAATCGCAACCATAGACTGGCCTATCAGTACATATATATGTATATAGTAATCACTCCAATTAACTTGAGTGATGCAATTGAAAACTTTTGAGTAGCAACTTTGAGGAGGAAATGGTGCCCATGAGAGCAAGAAGAAAGCCAAATGTGATGAGAAAGAGGTTAAGGAGCAAGACAAGGTTTGATATTTGACCCCAACATGTCTTCAAGTAGAAAGAACATGGCAGAATCAAACAAACGGCAACACTGACAAGGGAACCAGTGAGACTTAGTACATGTTCAAAATATGGAACCGACAGAGCAAGGGTTAGTATGACCAAAAGTGAAAATGAACCCACGCAACCCCTAATAATCATCTTGTTTCTGCCACTCATGGTGCTTGGAAGAGCATGTTCTAGTTGAATTGACAATGGTATGAATTCAAGCGCGTATTTGGTCATTGGTGCCACCACGGTTGCCCACAGAGCAACCTTTGTCACAATGCTCTCTGCTGGCATGCTCAGAGTTATTTGAGACTTTACATCCTTACCAAACATCCTCGCACCCATGAACCCCAGTGTCGTGTAAATTGCTGTAACCAGTGCGAAGCTCACAATAGAAACCTGATGAAATTTTCAAACAAAACATCATATACATGATCAAAACTTAAAGTTCTGCTCAAGCAAATAAATATATAAACTTTCATGTGTTTAGCTACCTTGGTAAATTTTGAAGGGTCTTTCATGGATGTGTATAATTCGGGGAAAACAAAGTGTCCTCCATAGCCAAAGACGTAAAGGCCAGATACTGATGGAATATTATGGAGTTGGAGGACAGGTATGGCATGATTGTTTCGGACATGTCCTAAAAGTGCAGTGGCAGCTACACAGAGAAAAATGAGGAGAGACATGAGAATGCCAAGTGTTGAAAGGAAAGATATGGAAGAGAGGTCTCTGATCCACAAACTAGGGAGGGCAATGAGAACTGCCACCACTGTTAGGAACTGAGATGAAGAGAATTTAGGGAAGTGGTGCTTGAGATTTGTCCCCAGAAAGACTGTGATCAAATTATCATGTAATGAGATGGTGTAGGAAACAAGGGACATGAAGATTTCCATGTAGATGATTGTTGCAGCCACCAACCTTCCTTTTGATCCAAACGCATGTTTCCCAATATCCACAAAGCTTCTTAACTTTGGATTCTTTCTGAGGCATGTTCCAAGTATGTGAGAACTGTAAGCACACATCACACCTAGTCCTACAAGCAAGAATGCAGACACCCACCCTCCACTTACCACGGCATATGGAGTTGATAGTTGCCCCAAACCTGAAAGATATTAAAAACTTTGCAGTCACTTTTCTGCTAAAAAATACTGAGTTCTTTTTTAGGAAGAATTCAAATTCTGTCACTTAAACCAGCATAGGTTGGCAAATGATCAATTGCTTGATGGGTAAGTTTACAGTGTTGATTGTGCTTTTGTCATTAAACATTAACTTGTTCTTAATTGGTTGGTTGTTATGTCCATTTTTCAACATGCCAGTTGGATTTAGAGACAGAAATGGTGATCCTGCAAATCTTGGATGCACCACCAAAAGTATTTGAGAATATATGTTTCATTATATTCTTCTAGTGAAGTTGGAAAAAAGTAAATCAAGAGAATAATTATTTTATGCAGCATGATTACCCTTCAAAGGAAACTTGCTAAGGAAAATGAAGTCTGTTAAAAAATTTGAAAACTCAATCATAGATGTGTGAAAAACTCAGATGCATTTTAAAGAAATAAAGTATATAGAATTAAGCACTTTAATGTATTGTATTAACTTAAAAATAAATATTTATAACTTGATTTACATATATTCGGAGTGAAAATGAGAAAATGAAGCAGTATATATGGAAATTTTACCTACGAGCATCCCCACCATGTTGATGACAGCATGAGTAAAGGAACTGTTGGAGTTAGCATGACGCTGAGCGTGGACATTTGCGTCTTCTGCTACATGAGTATGGTCACAATTGCATTGTTTGGTTTCTTCTACGCAACAGTTGCAACACTGCACAGGCAAAACGACCGAGTTTTCTTCACCATGCACTGACACACTTCCATCAACTTCACTCTTTTGCTTCTTCACACACTTATGTTGAAGGCTTATCAGGCTTTTCCATAAGGATTTCAACATCATGCTAATTCAAAAACTTAGAATATATCGAAATCCCAAGGTGTCTTGCTGTAACCAAACGCCATGCAGAACGTGTATTTATAATTGGATTAAGATGGCATGGCATCAGCCATTGTGGAGATGCCTACGTTGGATTTTATTCTCAAAGAATGAAAGAGAACGCTAATTTAATTTAAAGTTTGTTCCAGGAATAATACAATTACTGTGTATAGTGCTAACTGGCCTGCCATTTGTTTTAATTATAAAATTTCAAAAAATTTGGTCCCAAAACAACGGTCTAGATTATATTTTATCGGATATTTTGGCTTCGTTAAAAAGAAAAAATAAATAAACAATGTAAACCCAACTTGTTTTTGGCTAATTTGGATTCATACACTAAAGTCTTGGCACATCAATGTTCATCGAACAATACGCTTTGTATAGCACAACGTGTTGTGTATATATTCTCTGTAGCCAAATACAGAGGAATGATTTGATAACAAGAAGTATTGTGTTCAATTGTGTGAAAACTACAAATACATCAAAACAGACTCATAAATTCAATACACTAAATTTTAAATGTCCTCTCAAGAAAAAACATATCAATAAAACATGAAAAACCTTAATCAGAGGTGATAGACTTGTAGATAGTATTAATTAATTGTTTCATTTATGTCTTCCTAACTTAAGAGACATGATGTCTTTAAGACCTTGTTCTTTTGAGTGGATTTGAGGGGATTTAAAGATAAATTTTTTTGTCGTTTATTTGAGTGAATTTGGAAATAAATTTTTTTAATTTGTCACGTCAATACAATTTTATACTAATTCTTACAAATTTTATTTCCAAATTCATTCAAATAAACGACAAAAAAATTTATCTTCGAATCTCTTCAAATCCACTCAAAAGAACAAGACCTAAAGATATATAAGAGAAAAGATGTATAAATCTACCTAACTTGTGAGTACATCTCTACTTTTATAAGGACAGATATATTAATATTTTCGAAAAAGATAATGGAAAGCTTTTAAGAAAAATAAAAACATTGACATAATATCTAATATTATAGAAGACTTTGATATATGATGAAAAGTAAAAGTGTTATAGAAAGAGGAGATTTAGAAGGGTGGTGGAGAATTTGGATAAAGTTAGTTGGATGGTACAAGGTATTAAATTCCATCAGCTAGCCGTTGCTCTGATTCTATTGCAATATTTGGAAGGAATCACATCCTCAGCTCAACCTACTCTTCTTCAGACACAAATACAATTTTCATATTACAATATCAATTTTAAAACATAAGGCGTAGCTTTTAGTTATAATATCATGCACAAACTTTCTCATCAAAACAAAGGATAAATTAATCAATAAACTTGTTCAGTGCCTGTACCACCCTATTGGTGGATGTTATATTCCTTAAGAGTCTTATAATTAAGAAGATTATTTAAGAATAGATTCCGAATTTTCCAGGGATATATGGAAAACAAAAGCACCCTCAAATATTATTTTGATGATAAGTGACTTCAAAATAAAGTTCTGGCTAAGGAGGAACTTTTAAAAAAATATTATATTTAGAGATGCATGGTAGTTACGTGGATAAGCTATCTTTTTATATATTATTTGTTATTAATTGGTAGAGGGAGAAAAAAATTCAATTTCATCTATTTTGGGTCAAGTTGGTCTGTCAATTAAAAACGAATTGATAACCTGTCTTTTTTTTTTATCATCCAAAGTTTAATAACATGGAAACATGTTGAATTTTTTTATTTTTTACATGAAAATAGATAGGATGTCCGAGTTAAAACTAGTTGTCTTTCGAACGATTTCATATATTAATCGAATTGTATCAAATTTTGATCAAATTATATTAAATTTTGGTTGAACTGTATTAATATGAAATATCGTGATACGAGTTTATAAAGTATAGAGTGTTCATGACATATGTTGAAGTTTGAAGAAACAAAAACTTTTTGATTGATATTTAAACATTGTTAGGCTGATCTGCATCTCCATTGGAATATTTAAATATAAGTTGGTGCCAAGACCACAATAACTCTTCATTATTCCAAATGACGTATATATATATCATATTATATCATATTCTTTCCACTATTTTTGTTGGGCAAATATTCCATGGACAACCCTTCAGAAAGAATTTTATTTTGTTAATGGAAAATGCACCACTGCCGCTAATATCTCACGTCACAGATACCCAACATATATAACACGTTAATTTTAGTAACAATTCAAATATTAGTTAAAAATTACACATTTAGGATAATTAAGAAAGTTTAGTCACGTATAAAGATGAAAAATATACAAATATATGAAGTTTTAAGATATATTTTATGTTGAAAATACTCCCAGATCTTTTATATTAGCAATTTATATGATTTTTTTTCTTATACGCCACCAAATTGATGAATATTTCTTTTCAAAAATATGAGAATAATCACTTTTTAAAATATTTATCATAATGGATTGGTTGTAATCCATAAGCATAATTTCGTTACAAAAAAAAAGTTGTCGTTCATAACACAACTTCAAGTTGACCTTTAAAATTGTACCAAAACCGTAGCCATGACTTTGATGTGACAAAATCAAATTTAACGATCACGAGTTTAATTAATTTAAAGTCTTATTAATTCAATAAAAGTAGTAAAACGAGTTCTTTGTATTTGTTTTTCTAAAAAAAAGTGGTACATGGACGATTCCATTTTTTCTTCTATTTCTTTTATTTTTGTTAACTTGGAAGTCTTGAGTGAATACACTATATGCCGATAATCTATACCTTGTGATACTATTTTCTTTATTTTTCGGAGATCAATTTGATCGTCTATTATATTTTTCAAAAATTAAATTGACTGTTAATATATATAATTTCCATTACATATTGAATCATTTTTTAAGTTTAAAATTAATTTATCCAGTTGTTATAATTTTAGGTAATAAATTAATAACAGACTTGCTATAAAATTACTAAAGAGGTTTCAGTAAAAAGAATGCGTGACAATTTTCAATTAATGTTGGTAAGCTAAAAATGACGTTTTTTCGTCACTTTTATAAATGATGTAATTTCCTTTTTGTCATGTCCGCCATGTCCATTATTTACGTTGAGTCGATTTTATTTTTTAAACAAATATTTTGTTTTCTGAGTAAAATCATAAATTTGTTTGGTGAAAAAAAGGAGAGTAGCATAATATATTTAATTAATATGATAAACAAGTGTACTTCATATTAATGTAAATAGAAAATCTAACTACTAAATATTTGTAAACTATATTTTATTGGTTATTGTCATATATGTTACATATCATCTAAATTAATATTAATTTATTCTAAATTTTGGTACTTATTCGTATTTTGTTGTCTTTTACTTTTATCTAAGAATCAATAATACATGCATTGATGATGACCCGCATCTAACACATGATTTAATAACAAATATTAAAATGAATTAGTTTACTCTTTATAATCATGTTCCGATCCTTGTACGTTGATTGTAAATGATATTTTAAGTTAGTTTTTTTTAATGAATGTAAAAAACTTATATTTAATTGCCAATATATTATCATACATTTTTTAGTTTATTAGTGTTCCTATTTCATTCAATATAGACATATTAAAAAACATCAGTTTAATAAAGTTTATATTAAACTTCTTTATTTTGAAGTAATCTAATCATGTGTCTATTAAAATAATATTTACATATTATAATTAGTATGATAATTTGGTATTATAATTATTATTTATAATGAGATATCATTATATCATTATTATCTATTTTATTATTATATATTTGAGGTAAGTATTATTTCAATAAAAACCTAGATCACACAGTCCATATTAATTCTATAAATACAATTAGAATTATATAAGAAATATTCACTTAATAATAATTATTCATACTTACTATTGTTCATAAAAGATCTAAACTTTTTTGCTTATTTGGAGTCTTGTACAGATAAATTTTCCCATTCTAAACAACAACAAAAATTCTATTTTAATCATTAATATTATTTAAGTCACTAATAAAATCTTATCACTTGTCAGTAAAAGATTAACTAGTAAAATCAATTGATGTAGAATGATAAAAATTAAAAGCTATTTTTGAACTAGTGGAATAAACTCTTGTGTAAGATTTGAATAAGATGCATCTTTGTGAGAGAGAAAGCTGATTGTGGACAAACATCCTCATTCTTACATGTTCATCACATGCCTCGTAAAAGACAAGTCATTGACATTCTTTCTTTCTTTCATTTAAAATAACAATTTCATTTTATTTATTTTCTTCATGAATTTGAAATCTGTTAAGCATTGACCATTTCCAAAATAATTGACCTAACTAATTCATAAAACACTCTAAGCTTGACCAGACGTGGGTAATTAATAGTAGTTAATTAAAGTTATAAAAAATGAATTAAAAATATATTTGTTATATTGAATTAACATTTAATTATAATAGTTAAATTGATTTCTTATAAGTTAACAAACGGTGAACTTTCACAATTAAACTTGTATAATAATGTATAAGTGATTTATAAATTATATGATACGATAATATCTATTAAAAGTGACACTAAACTTTGGATGACTTGCCATGATATCATATAGAAAACTAAATCTCTATTTTATATTTACTGATAAGAAGTGAGAACGTGAAATAAAAAAGCATCGCAGTGAAAACGAAGTAATCATATAAAGAGAGCAGTAACAAAGAAAAGGTTAAATAAATAAATAATGGTAGAATGAGACAGTTTTATATTTATGTGATATAAAATATAAAAGTAAAACGGTTATAAAGTATTAAACTTTTTGTATTTTTTTAATGAAAAAATAAATACAAAATAAAAAAAGGTAATATGAAAGTAAGTAAAAAATTTATAGTATATTTTTAAAAATAAAGAGAGTTGTGAAAGTTTTTGAAGATAGAAAATGAAATATAAAAAAAGGAATGAAACGTATGTTTTTGTTCCATAGTTGGAAAGAAAGGATGAATGATTGGCCATAAGAAAGAGATTGCAGATAAGAAGGTTTGGAAGTGATGTGGAG